AGCTCCAGAAGGATCTTCATGCCACCCTCTTTCTGAGTTTCAACTAGCCAGGATCATAGGCACACATGCATGGGTGTGATGTGCACAGGGAGGTCCTGGGAGGTGACCCCCGACCTTTCCCATATGAGTCCATTTGTGCTACCACTGCACCACCACTTGGCCCCATTATTTATTTATTTTTTTGGAGAGGTTTTTGCTATAGGGCGTGTGCACTCGCCAGACAGACAGAGAGACAGAAAACGAGGAATCACCCCCCCAGGGGGGATGGCCACGCCACAATCCCTTCTCCTCCATTCTCCTTTCGGGATCTTGGGCACGCACGCACATGCGCCCGGCTTGATTTTAAGCCACCCGGTCCGCGGTCGACTACATTGGAGTCCAGCGACATAGCCATTATGCTAACTGCTGGTCCCCGTTATTGCTTTTTTAACTTACCCTTTCTTCACTTAGCAAAATATTCCTAGCAGTTCATTGTGTTCAGTATTCCAATACAGTAATATTTCAGTCACTGTATCATATTCAAATCTGTGAAAACAGGGTATCATGTTTTGAATTAGCATTGCGAACCTGACATTGATATCACCCTGCTTTAGCACCCAACTAGATCCCTTAAAGTCTAAAATTGTTTCACAGTGGGAGCTATCCATCCTTCCAACCTTGTTTCTTTTGGCCTGTTCCCCTGGCTGCCACCCAATAGCCAGCTGGAATGACTGACCATTGCCAGCAGTGACACGAGCTCTTTACATGAGCTCTATAGCATCCTTTCTTCTGCCTCGAATGCTCTCCCTGCCCCTTCCCAAGAACACACATACTGGCTTCCAAATCCAAGTCCAGGATTTCACTTTTGGATCCTTTACCTTGGTGACCTTCAGGAGTTAGCAGAATTCACACAAAACAAGTCATCTAGTAGATATGGCAAGAACGAAAGTTTTTGTCAGTTTGGAAAGAAAGTAGCATAGTTTTGATTTCAGTAAGCAGTTAAAAACCTTACAACTGGGGGACCAGCAGACAGTGTAGTGCTTGTCACTGGACTCCCACATGGACTACTGCAGTTCGAGTTCCGGACCTGGTGACTTGAAACTCACACTGGGCACATGTGCATGCTTGCCCAAGATCCCAGGAGGAGAGTGGAGAAGGGATTACTATGTAGCCATCCCTCTTGGGGGAAGATTTCTTGTTTTCTGTCTCTCTTTCTCTGTTTCATGGGCAAACACATGTGCCCTATAACAAAAATATCTCTTACAAACAAAACAAAATAAAAACCTTAGAATTATTTTCCTGTCTGGGGCCAGCAGGTGGCGTGGTGGTTAAGGCGCTGGACTCTCCCACATGGTCAACCATGGTTCAATTCCCAGACCTGGTGACTTGCTTTCTCACTTTCCCTCTCTCTCTCTCTGTGTCTCTCTCTGGTCAAATTAAAAAATAAATGAGTGCATAAATAATTTAAAAAAAGATTTATTTTCCTGTCGTCCAATTTACAAGATAAAGCAATCTAAGGCAGCACATTCTTCTCTTCTCTCCAGGAAACGGTGGCTTTTAATTCTTCTCTTCTGAGACCTCGTGTGATCGGAGAATGGATTGGCAGAGAAGAAAATGATGCTGACCCACTAGCTGCTGAAATGCTACAGCCTCCGATTCCAAGAAGTAAAAATGACCACTGGGAAAGTGAAGACAGTGGCTCTAGCCCTGCGGGAAGGTGAGGTCAGATGTCTCCTAAGAGTCGATGTATTATCAGTCATGAAAAGATGAAGGCAAAATAAACCCAAGTATGTGATTTTTATGAAACGCCTCTTAGCAATTTCATATATAAAATTATGTTAGGCTCCATATAGGATAAAAAACATTTTACTCGGATTTAAATACTTATGAATTAAACCATGACAGGTGTTTAATCTTTCTGCAAATGTTATTAGCTGACCACCATAGAAGAGTCTCTCTTAGGAATAGCATAGCCACAGTAACTTGGTATTTCCTGTGTTGGACTTAGCAGCAACCAACAACTATTCTTTCTGAAGGAGAAAATTGTATTTTCTACAATGTAATAGCATTCAGGGGTTCTTTGCTTTAACTTATCACTTGGCTAGAGGGAGGGAAATGCAGAATGCTCATTAATGTGCTTCAGGCATATAGGAAATTGATTCTATTTCCATGAGAAATCACTTTAAAATTATTTAAATAGTTGAAGTGTCCTGTAGAAGGAGAAGAAACTCATTTTTAAAAAATCCATTTACCTTCTATTGTGAAATGCCAGATTAATTTTACCTGTCGATGAGGGTAATTTTATTTTTAACACTAGACTTATGAAACCCTCTAGACCTTTATCTTTATTCATTGGCCGAGCTTTAGTTCCTAAATGTGAAATGGAGAAATGTCGACTTTCATTTTACTTTCATTTAGTCATCATAATTATCAGAGCTATTTATTGCAAATGTTAGTGCTTCTATTTTCTTTCTCACCTCAGTGAGCTCTTCTTACTCCCTGTATAATACGAGGAGAGGGATTTCTTTCTGCCCTTCTAGTTGGATCCCGTACTCAGAAAACTCACTCAAAGAAAAGCTCTCGTAACTATTTATTTTTGGAAAGTTATTTTCAGCTTTATTTTTCTCTATCTTTAAATTAGTAGTTACGGTACTACCCTATGAAATGAAGAAATTGGTTTAACCTGCCCAGATGTCCCATTAAAGCACAAAGAATACACGCATATCTGAGTTAAGTTTAGGCAACATTGATAAACTAAGGGTTAGAATTATAGTTCTTCTGTTTTCTAATACAAAGTAGGCTTTTCTTTTTTCTTTTTTTTTTTTTTTAATTTTGTCAGAGGTCTCGTGCCTTTACTAAAAAGACCCTTTATTGGGGTGTGGTCATACCACAATCTCTTCTTTCTGTTTCTCCATCTTGTCAAGGTTTGGGATGTACAAACACTCACATCTGGTTTGCTTTTCAAATTACCAGGGACAGGATTCAAACCTCACTATCAACTGTGTAGGTTCTGGCATCTATCTGGCTTTTTTTTTTTTTTTTTTTAAGAGAGATTTTTGCTATAGGGTGTATGCACTTGCCAGAGACATAGAGAGAGAGACAGAGAGAGAGAGAAAAAAAAAGGCATTGCGAAGTCACCCTCCAGGGGCCATGGCCATGCCACAGTCGCTTCTCCTCCATTCTCCTCTTGGAAATTTGGGCATACGTGCACATGTGTATAGCATAAGTTTCAAGTTGCCAGGTCTGGGACTCAAACCGTTGTTGCCCATGTTGGAATCCAATACCTTAACCATCATGCCATCTGCTGGTCCTGGTGTGCCTTTCTTAATCACCATGCCACAGGGTTGGCCCTGAAATAGCTTTCTAGATTTATATCCGTAACTCATATAGCACTAGATTTGATTTTGATGAGTAAGAGAGAAAACTTCTAGTGGCTCTAGAGTCTGTAACTATAGTACTAGCTTTGCCCTTAAATAGTACTAAATTTATACTGTAATTTAACAGCCTTAAACATTAACAGGAAAAAAAAATGGTATGCTTGATTTCTAAGAGAAAAAATTTTATTTTCAAGCGTTACTATATCTATCTCCTTCCACCCCATCCCAGGGCTGGCATGCCCATGTCAGTAGACATGGGTTATATGAGTAAAGGGTCTCAGGTTGCCACTAAACATCTACTAAATAAAGCCTATTTAAAAGGGTTGTTTATAGTCTGTCTTTTTTGTTGTTGTTATTGTTTTGCCCCTTTTCTATCTTACATTTTCCATTTAATTATTGTGTGTCTTATTTGAATGGTTGTTATTAGAATGCTTTATCTCAAGCTCATAAAATCATTTATAATTCATCACAAATGCAGAATTTATGATATCTATCTTTACCATTCAATTGGAGAGAAATGAATGATGTAATAAATGAGCATTTTATGGCTAGAAACTTACACCCCAATTTTTTCTAGAACTCTTTTTTGAATGATAAGCCTTACTGAATTTTTTTTCTGTAAGTCCCCTAAACACAACACTGTATGAAAAGGCCAACAACTGACTCTCACAGCTGAACTCTGCAGAGTAAGCTGCTGGGTATAAGAGAGAGAGAAAGAGAGAGAGAGCTTGTTCTGCAGTTTTGTGGTATATCTTCCTTACATTTTCAAAGAAGTTTAGAATTAAGGCTTAAGACAAAAAGTATCTGAGCAGGAAAAGGAAAAGGGATTCGTAGAACAGAGAGGTGAAGGTGTTAGTGATTGAAGACAGCTGTCAGATATTCTCCTTTGGCATCCATTGCTATGACTCATCTAGTTTTTGAGTGAGGAATCATGTACATTCATTGAACATTTAGAGTTATTAAAAATAATCACGTATTATGAATTAATACAAATTAAATAAAATTGAATTTTGTGAACATATATAAATTATTTTAAGCCATCTTAATTAGACTTTGCAATAGCTATGTAATGGGTTTTCTACAATTACTTGTTAAATCATAATGTGAATTTGTAAATAGGCTCATTGAGTCTTGACAACTAATGAATCTCCTCAAAGGCTGAACCACCTTAATAGAACTAGAATAGCATCCATAAATATTGTAGATCTCCTAAACTGCCTTTATTAGCTATGTGAACATTGCTATTAGACTGTAAATATGCTATGAAAAGAATCAAAAACCTTGCCATTTAGAAATATATGTTAAATATTGAAAACTAAATTCATTTTCCTCTAAATGTTTTCCTTTCCATTAAAGCTCATGATTGTGTCTGGTTTGCAGTGGACAAAATGTGGAAATATTCCCTTTTGTAGAGAGATAGTCAATAAGGGACTATATCAATATATGCCATAAATTCGAGGAGTCATGGGTGGTATGAGGGAAAATAAACCAGGATAAGGAGGTAGTTAATAGATTGTGGGGAAGGGGATACTCTTTTTCCAGAAGAAGTCTAAAAACAAAGAAATAGCCCTAGCATTGGTCAGATTTGAGCTGTTGTGGACATGACTGAGATAAAGTCAGATTTAATAATTTAAAATCTTTTAACATGCACATTTTAAGCATAAAGAATTATTAACCAAAAGTTCATCTGCTATAGGAACAGAAGAACAGCAGCCCTAAAAATACCTGAAACATACAAAAATTGCACCTCACAACTCACAATTTTTTAAAGCCAAAGCAATGTGTATCTGAACTATACATTTATTTTAGAGCACTGATAGTTATTTTGATAGGTTCGATATTAATTCTTTTTAATTAATTAATTAATTAATTTACTTTAGAGGTTTTTCTTAGGGTGTGTGTGTTCACCAGAGAGAAAGAATGAGAGACAGACAAGGACAGTGAGAGGGAAGGTGAGAAATCACCCCCTAGGGGGATGGCCATGCTGCAATCTCTTCTTCATTCTCCTTGCGGGATCTTGAGCATGCACGTACACGTGCCCAAGTGTTTCGAGTCACCATGTCTGAGACTCAAACTGTAGTTGGCCATGTGGGAGTCCAGCGATGCAACTGCTATGCCATCTGCTAGCCCAGAATTTATTTATTTATGTAGAAAATAAAGATCCTAATTAAAATGCTGGGTTGTTGAAAAAGTCATGACACACTTTTGCATAGAAAAACAGGAAAAATTATGTCATGACTTTTCTGACAAGCCAATAATTATTTCATGGAACAATACTACTTATCTGGGGCCTTATGTCTATTACAATAGAGGCGTGGCATTGTGGATTAGTACCCAGGTCTCCTTGCTCTGTACTTTTTCAATGACCAAACACTGTGTTTTACTGGGACTAAAGATAACACTTGCTTCAACCTTCATGCAGTAGTCTTGGTCCTTGTTAGCCCATAAATCCAAATTCTGCATTTATAATCTAACACTTCCTCATCTTTCACATTCATATTTACATTACTTACATGTTTTTTCCTCCTCTGTTTCTCCACCCATCATCTTACTTCCTAGATTGTCATCTCTCTCAAACTGATAGATGCAGACATCTACTAAAGTTAATTCTTGTTTTCTGTACATGTCTTATTTAAAAAATTAGGGGGACCAGCAGTTAGCGTAATGGCTATGTCGCTGGACTCCCATGTAGTCGACTGCGGTTTGCGTCCCGGACCTGGTGGCTTAAAACTCACGCTGGGCACGTGTGCGTGCGTGCCCAAGATCATGAGAGGAGAATGGAGAAGGGATTGTGGCATGGCCATCCTCCCTGGGGGGTGATTTCTCGCTTTCTGTCTCTCTATCTCTCTCTGTCTGTCTGGCGAGCACACACGCCCTATAGCAAAAACCTCTCCTCCCCCCCCAAAAAAAATTAAAAGCTCAAAGGAAAGGAACCATTTTAATATATTTATTGACCATTAATACCAAGTAATGTGCGAGGTACTTAGTGAGAGCCAGCATGAAAAAAACAAAAATCCTAGATTTACAGTATTTACTTTACAATGGGAAATGACCTCCCCCCCAAAAAAAAGCCTTATTTCTGCAGCTGAGTGCACAGAGTGCTGGGTATATAACAGTACCTAGGTATCTATAAAGAAAAGAGCTCTTATATGTAAAAATCTAAGTGTAACAACTGAGCATGTAACTTTATGATCATGTCAACTCCCAACTCTTAATGCAAAGAGAACGCTTTCATTTTTGACTAGACTCCAAGAAAAGAGCACAGGTTCTGCCTCCTACTCTGTAAGGGTGAGTTCAGCAAACCTAGGAGAGAGTTCAGGAGTGACATTATCCAACTTTC